GGATTACCTAAAGGAGTGGGGTGTTAGGTGAAGGGAGGTAAAGGGGGAAAAACTGGGACAATTATAACAACATAATCAATAAAACAATTTTTTTAAAAAGCTAAGACTAGAACAAAGGATAAAGTTCCTAACATTGGCTGCCTTTTTGTCGGTTTAGTGCAAATACAAATAAATATTCTGAAAATGTGAAATGTTTACTGTGTATTTAATAAAATTTAATGGTGTTCTCTGGGAAATATATGATATTATCTGAATATCCATCAAAATTATTTCCTTGTTCTTATCATGGAAACTTTACAAGCAGAATCACTGGGCCCAGGAAAACTGTCTGAAATCAATCTTTTCCAAATGGTGTCTAGTAGTTTTTAGAAGTAAAAGAAAGTATATTGAATCTGGTTACTATTCTCTATTTTCCCCTTCTGGAAATAAATGTGGATAAGCACATATTTCGTGTGCATTTTAAATAAAGCCCAAGGTTGGATTATAAGGAAACACAAAATTATATGGGAATTTATTTTTAATAAAACCTGATATTTTAATATGGACTAGGAATAGACAGAAAAAAAGATTTTAGTTAGACAAGTTCTGTCCTTGATGCTAGATTCTTCAGTCCTACAACATCCTGAGAAACTGGTGCTCCCTCTTTGATACAACACTTTGGGCCCTTACTGTCAAGTCCTATATAGTTGAAACACACCTACCAACCTGCACCACTGTGTTATCCAGGCAATCTCAGGCTTGTCTCCCTGCAGGAGCCACGTAAAGCATGTTAAGTCATGTTCTGGTTAATCCAAAACACCACTCTTACAACCTCCCCCTTTCTTCCAAGTATCCAAGGGGCTTAGTAGTTAGCATTGCAAAAACAGAACCTGTTTAGTATAAAACAAAACGTATAAAATTATGAGTCTGTTCACCTAAACTCTGTTCTTCTATGGCTAAGCTCACTCTTTAAATTTTAGTTTCTCTACATGTATAATAGATTTGACAGGCTATCAGTTTGCCAAGGATGTTCAACAATTTAAGAAAATATCCACAAGACTATTTAATTCCTTGAAAAAATGAGGGATATATAATATACATAAAAGTATATACACACCCTAGCTGGCATAGCTCAGTAGATTGAGCGCGGGCTGCGAACCAAAGTGTCGCAGGTTCGATTCCCAGTCAGGGCACATGCCTGGGTTGCAGGCCACGGCCCCCAGCGACTGCAGATTGATGTTTCTCTCTCTCTCTCTCCCCCTCCCTTCCTGCTCTAAAAATGGATGAATAAAATCTTTAAAAAAAATAAAAATAAAAAAAGTATATACATATTTATTCATCACATAACAAGTGTTGTCTTAACACATCTCATTGAAGAGGAAATGTTTTTCTCATGTAACATTTAGAATGCAGAGAGCTCTGCAAATTAACTGGCATCCAATAAACGTTTGCTTTAATGTATAGACCTCATAAAGTGCCATATTAGGTAAACAGAATTTGCTGTACTTCTCCATTTAACGCAGTTTGTTTTCAGCCCCAATCAGTGGTTTGGGCACAGACCCAGAAAGCGAAAGGTGGCCAGTTCGATTCCCGGGTCAAGGCATATGCCTGGATTACAGGCCAGAGGCTACCAATCAATGTTTCTCTCACGCATATATGTTTCTCTCCCTGTCTTTCTCCCTCCTTTCCCTCTCTCTGAAAATAAATAAATAATCTTAAAAAATTATTTTGGTGTCAAACTTAGGCCTTTATTCAAATTCAGTGTCAAAGCTGATATGCCAGAAGAATGGAGTTCAAAATAAACATAGTCACTATATTAACCACATTCATACACTACTTTATAAAAATAAGATTTAATTTGGTCTTTATTTCAAGGCACCAAATGTTTCAGTGAACTCCACTACAGTCTGAAATAACCCACTTGACCTGATGAAATAAAGTGGCTCTCAGTACACTTGGAAGATAAGTCAGGTTGCTAAGGGGTATGGCAGTGCATGGCAACATAAGCCCCTTAATGGCTTATCAGCAAGTTAGGAAAGCTTTCAAGACTGCATATCCAACTCATTTCTATTTGTTCATATATATTTTAATGCTGTGGGAAAGAGGGAGAATGAAATTCTCTTGAGATTAAGTTTTATGTTATCTAGGCTGACTGAGAGGCAAACAGACTTCAAATGTGAACTCTTCTTACTACTACTGGATTAAGGCTAAAGTACTGGGTTGGCCAAAGAGTTTGTTACACCTTTTCTGTAAAATAAAAGACACATTTTTCATTTTCACCAATAACTTTATTGATTTGGGTATGTTGAGTATCTTGGCTATCTCCCACTACTGGCTTCTAGTGGGTAGAGGCCTGGGGTGCTGCTAACCATCTTCCAATGCATAAGACAGCCCACAGCAAAGAGTTATTTGACCAAAATGTCAAGAGTACCAATTAACTTCACAAACCACTTTTGACACGTTCGATCAGTCACAGTACCTTCTTCATACACTGCACAATCTTTTTTTGCTTTTTTACCTTCCTTGAAATGATAAAACACAGTACACCAAAAATGTTACATATCTTCTTCCATCTTCAATAGTAAAATGGCTGCACAAAAAGTCACCAAATTTTGTAAGTTTTTTTTACTGCAGCTAATGTGACAGCTGTCACAATACAATCCAATAAAACTGCTTCAAATGAAGTTACAGACAACTAAGCACTACTCGAGTTATCATACAAAAAAACTAAACGAACTTTTTGGCCAATCCAGTACAAAAATTTTTACTATGTACAGGAAAAACTAGGTAAAAAAGGACTATGGCAATATAAATTCAGTTTTACTTCATTTTTAAAGGAAAATGAATAATTTGTTTCAGTTTGAACTAATTTATTTTAGCATATGATGCATCAGTCATATTCTGATGTCCACTTTAGAAACTGAAGCATGAAACAAAAACCTTTGAATTATCAGCAGAAAGAGGGTGAAATATGATGTACCTGGATTGCTAAAAGCATTTATACTTAAAAAATTATTTAATATGATTTAAATACAATAGATACAGACATATGTGTAATACTCAAAGTTAAGTCACCAGCATGAAACCGAAGGTCTCAATTCTACCTGTCACTTATATCTCATATGGAACTGATCTCTCTTTAAATCTAAGAGCCTAGGGTCTTTTTCAGTTTTTCATACCTAGGTTTCCCTTGACCAGTCCTCTGGCCATACCTTCAAACTCCCATCATCCAGTGTTAACTAAAATTTCTTTGTATTTTCTGGCACTCTCTTCTTAAATACAACAATTAATCTACCCTTAAACATATTCCCTCTATTTTAAACATCTTTGACCTAGATGAGTAAACTTCAAAGGACCCTATTAAAAATAGGGTCCTACAGTGAAACATTACATCTCCAGGAAAGAATGATAGTACCCTTCATCCTCCCCAAGAGATCTTTGAATGATCCTAAAAGGTGGTGAAGAATGAAGCAGCTAACAAAACACTTCCTTCCACAAATACATGCCCTTCTTTCCTTAAATGTCTGTCCTTCTTTGAACTTTAACCTTCACTCTGTCTTTATGTTCCAAAACCGTGAACACCTCCTACTTCTCACTCCTGAGCCCCACAAAGGAAATTGGTTTCAATAAAACTAAATCTAAAACAGTTTCTGGCCCTGGCTGGTGTAGCTCAGTGAATTGAGCATGGGCTGTGAACCAAAGGCTCACCAGTTCCATTCCCAGTCAGGGCACATGCCTGGGTTGTGGGCCTGGTCCTCAGTGGGGGTCACGTGAGAGGCAACCACATGTTGATGTTTCTCTCCCTTTTCCCCTCCCTTCCCCTCTCTAAAAATAAATTAAAAATCTTTAAAAAATACTGTAACAGTTTGATAAAATTAAAAAGTAAAAATAAAAGTTTCTGGGGTTGGTAGTGGAGAGATAGACTACAAATTAAGAGCAGTTTGCTTAAAAAAAAAGAACAATGAAAGTGAGTACTTAATTCAGGTGGTAGAGGGAAAAGATCTCAGCACACTGGATTTGAAGACGGAAGGAGGGACTTTCAAAATGTTACAAGACTCTACTTATCATCTTCCATAAAAAAGTTTCATTACCAATTAGCCCAGGTTTGGCATGGCCTGCTTTAATCTTTTGAGCCTTAGGTTTTTCATCTGTAAAATGTGGACACTTAATAGTACCTTCACCTCACTGGGTAGTTGATGGGATTAAATACAAAACACAAGGAAAGCTAAGAGCACAGTGCCTGGCACATGGATCAACATACATTATCTTAAAAGAAATTTGAAGTACGGAGTATCCTTGCTTTGTTCAGAAACATAAATCTTTAAGTTTTATTGTAAAATGATATATATAAAATTAGCCTATGCACTCATTTAGCATTTCGATTTAGTAACTAAGAGGCTGCCTTGAAATACTAATCCAGATAAAACCAAATTAACCAGGGACAAAAGTTTTAGGCTAAAATAGAACTTTACTGAAAAATACTCAAGAGTTATTATATTGCTAAAGTGACTGCCATGAAACTTTAAAAATGCAAATTCAGCTGTAATCATATGCAGCTGTCCCTTTCAAAATTAAGTCACTGTGTGTTCTTTTTTTTCCTGACACTACAGTACCCTGCTTTCATTAGGGGCCTTTAACAAGTCACAGCTCCTTCGCTATCAAAACCTTTTTTGGAAACCTGGCTCAGAGGAAGCCACACACTGTTTACAGAAGGGATCCGTGTGGTCACTCTAGGACAACTGTCACTGTTACCAGCACGTCTGGTATAAGAAGAGTAAGGGAAGGCTGGTGTGTGAAACAAAGTCGACAACTAGGCAGCCCTGAAAGGGGAGAGGTTTTAACTGAGAAACGCAGAGGATGAAGGTCTGACTGCAGGGAAGCAATCTCGCGGGGAGGATCAATTTCCAGGGGTGCACCGCCGGCTCGCGCAGGAAAGGGGCGCAGGTGTTGCCCTCCCTCGGCGACCCTACCGCTTTCTTCCCGGCGCCACCACCCCTTCCCCCCGCCCGGCCTCCAGTTACCTTTCTCGTCCTCATCGATGCGCAGGGCAATGGAGATGTACTCGAAGGCCTGTTTGTGGAAAGCTCGGACGCGCTCGGCCTCTCCGCCCGGCACTGGCGCCGGCGGTGAGGCCGAGGCCGGCGCGGCTGGGGAGCTCCTCTTGGCGGCCATGAGGGCGCGGGAGAAGCGCTGGCAGAGCCACACGAAGAGGAGCCCCAGGTGGAAGGCGGCTAAACGCAGCAGCGCGAAGCCTGCGAACAGCGGGTAGGAGAAGTAGTACAGGTTCCGCTTATGCGGCGACTCCGGCGGAGGAGCCGGCCTGGGGGCGGGACGGGCAGGGCGGGCGGGGGCCAGGCAAGGGGGCGGGGGCCTGGGAGGCACCGGGCTGCTGGGGCCGCCGGAGCCTTTCTTCTTCCCGCGTCCACCTGGAGAATTCATTCACAGCTCCCACTGCCGCCGCCGCCATAACCCGCCTCCCGCAGATCGACGGCGACGAAGTGACGGCAGCGGCCACTGGGACGGCGAAGGCCACAGACCCCCGCGCTCCGGCCGGTCCCAAGAGCTCCGCACCTCGACTCACAGCTCGCCGGCCCCGCCCCTTTCTCTTCCTGCTGGCACTAGCACTGTCCCTTCTTCTCAGGCTGAGGTCGGCGGCTTCTGCCCCTCCCTCTCTTGGTCCTCTTAGCCGCCTCTAGTAGCTCAGAGTGGTGGCCGCGCGCGCACGCTTCCCCCGAGTCTTTCTCCGGCGCGCGCGCACGCCGCCGTCTTTGTTGACCTAAGCTCCTACTGCGCGTGTGCGGCGTCCGCCCTCCGTACCTTTCCCGAGGAACTACGATTCCCAAAGTGCAGTTCGGCTCTACGTCATGCACTGTTCCTGGGAGCCCCGTAGCAGGGAATATTGTTCACCAATTCACCGAAATACGAGGCTGCAGTTTGGGGACCGTCGGCTTGTTTGCAGGGTTTCTATCTTTTAGTGTCGTCGTTTTCTTATGAGTATTTGTTTCAGTATTTTCTGCCCGTCTTTCGCATAGGATAATTACTCTGCGTTCTAGCTCAGAAGCAATGGGTACCAATCTAGGAATTATCTAAGAGGGAAGCAGTAGTAGAGACGGACAAATTTTAAGGTCACCAAAACGAGAATATTAACTCAATGGGATGAAGTCAACGATTCCAGAGGTTCAACTGAATTACTATGTTTAGATGAAGAATTAATTTATTTGAAGAAGGGAATTTTTAAGGTAATCACACAGTAATCGATTACACAGTAATCGTCCCATAATTTACTGAGGAATCCCCACTGGGTATTCCCTGACACTCCCCCGCCCCCGCCTTAATCTGTATGTCCCTTCCTTTAGGGATCTGCCTATTCACTTCTGCTGCCAGCACAAAAACCCACCTCCGAGATTACAGAGATGGAATATTGGGTCAATCGTACCCTCCTAGTAACTGGAATCTTGGATGAAAACACTGGGATAGAAGGTAGTTAAAGAGCAGGCCTATATGGTTCACTTCATCGAGGTCTCTGAAGATGCCAGGTTCCTAGTCTGGTCACTTTATAATGTAAACTAATAAATTAACTATTTAGCCTATTTCTCTAATTTTTGTTTCTCTACTACTCTACAAGTATAGGCTTCTGCAAACATGACTTGCTCCCTGTTTCCCTCCTACTTCTCTCTCCCTCTTTGTTCTTGCCTCTGTGCTTACTCTAGTTCATGCTGAAAGGCCTTCCTTAACATCTTGATTCATTTCAATTGCTGACTTCCCTCTTTTGAGCTCCACAGTACTTTTTGTTCTTGTGTAAAATCTATTATATTTACACATATATCATGTAAGCAAGAAGTATATAATTTATATGTATAATTTAAAGAAAAACAATAAAACAAACAACATCCAGTTTATGAAAAACTAATGTAACCAGGTTCTTGAAGCACTCTGTGAGGCTCTCCCTAATTTCAGACTTTCTCCCCTTCTACAGAAAGCCACTGTCCTGATTTTTGTACTCATCCCTTTGCCTTTCATTTTAGTTTTGCATATATGTGTGTAGTTACCTCTAAACAATATATTGCATAGTTTTGCCTGGTTTTGCCACCAGTGTAATCATACTGCCTGTATTCTTCTTAATTAACTTTTACTGCTCAATATTTAAGTGTTTGAGATTCCTCTTTGTTGATTTTTTTTATCCTCAAGCAAGGACATTTTGTCCATTGTTTGGTTGTTTTTTTTTTTTTTGAGAGAGCGGAAGGGAGAGAGAGAGAGAAAGAAACAAACATCGATTGCCTCCCATGTGTGCCTCAACTGGGATCGAACCCGAAACCTAAGCATGTGCCCTGAGAATCGAACCTGGAACCTTTTGGTTTATGGAACAATGCTCCAATCCACTGGCCAGGGCCTTTCTTGTTGATTTGTATAGCTATAGCACATTTATTTTCACTTCTGTGTTCCATTATATGAATTTACCACAGTTTATTTTAGTTTGGTGCCAGTTTTTTCTTTCATCTTAAGTAACTACTGTAAGATTTTGTTTATTTTTTTTGAGAGGGGAATGGAAAAAGTGGGAGAGAAACATCAAGGTGTGGTTGCCTCTCGCGCGCCCCCTACTGGGGACCTGCCCTGACTGGGAATCAAACCCCCGGCCCTTTGGTTCACAGGCCCGCACTCAATCCACTAACCCACACCAGCCAGGGACTACTGTAACTTTTTAACTTGGCCAAGAGATGGTCCAATAATAGAGTGGTTTTGGAGTTAGACTGGATGCATTCAAATCCCTGCTCCACCACTTTCTGTGATCTTGGACCTGTAACTCAGCTTCTACATCTGTTTTAGCCTCTATGTCTATTACATAAAAAAAGAGTAGTGGCCCTGGCCAGGAACTCAATTGGTTAGAGCATTGCCCTCATATGCCAAGATTGTGGATTCATCCCCAGTCAGGGCACATACAACAACAAAATCAGTCTTTCCCTCTTTTTCTCAAATTAATCAATCAATAAATTAATTAAAATCAATTGACAAGTAAAACATTTTAAAAAACATAGTAGGCAGTAATGCCTGGAATGAAGTTGCTGCTTGATATTTGTTCAATGAAGAATGGCTCTCCCACAGCTGTATATATATATGGTATATAATTCAACTAAATTCACACTGTAATTCACCTAAAAGGAACTACTGGTAAAATTCTGAGCATTCTTTACTATTTCCCAGGACCACAAGTATCCTCAGGTCATTTTTCTTTCCTTTGCTTCTCCTGCTACCTTCATTGTCAAAAATTTTTTAGGGCTTAACTGTGATGTTTTCTTGATTAATCCTTCCCTTATCACCTCCAGCAGAAATGATCCTTTTTTAAAAAGGATTTTATTTCTTTATTTTAGAGAGAGGGGATGGGAGGGAGAAAGAGAAACACCCATCATTTGCCTTTCACACGCCCCCATCTGGGGACTTGGCCCACAACTCAGCCATGTGCCCTGCTTGGGAATCAAACAAGTGACCTTTTGGTTCTCAGTCTGGTGCTCAGTCCACTGAGCCACAGTAGCTGGGGCAGAAATGATCCGATTTTAAAAATTCTTATGATGATACAGTTGTGTAATTCTATGGCTCTTCTCATATATTGCCTTATGTGATAGTTATTTAAGTACTTCATTACCTCCTGTTATAAATTATAAACTTACTTCAAGGAAGTGGCTCACTTTCTGCACCTAGCCTGAGCCTTGATTATGGTACTCATTTAATAAAGATTAATACTTTGAAAAATAATTCAAACATGGTAATTATTATAGAAATATGTTGCTGTGTAATAGACCACTTCAAACTCACTGACTTAAGAAAACAACTATTTATTTACTCACAATTTTATGAGTCAGCAACTTGGGATGGATTCAACTGGGTAGTTCCTCTGCTGGCATTGCCTCGGGACATTCACAGGGATGCAATCATCTGATGGCTTGACTGGGGCTGAGAGGGCAAGCTGTCCTCACTCACATGTCCAGATGCTGGTGGTGGCTGCTGGCTGGGGCACATATCTTCAGCAGGGTGTTCCATAGTTCTTTACATTGAATCTGGCCTCTACAACAGTATGAGTGGAAGCTGCAAGGCCTCTTGAAACCTAAACTCCATAATTGCACAATGTCATTTCCGTTGCATTTTTTTTTGTCAGAGTAAGTCACAAGGCCAACTACAATGTAAAGGATGGGAAAATAAATTCTACATGTTGATGGAGGAGTGGCAAAGTCACATTGTAAAAGGATATGTGTGTGTATGTATGCATGTATATATATATATGTATATGTATGCATGTGTATATATATGTGTATATATATATATATATATATATATATATATATATATATCCCTTTTTGTAAATGGAATTATCGTGGCATCTTTGAAAGTAATCTGCCACAGCGATTATGCGTCGAATTTCTTTTTACCTCAAATTCAGACTGGAGCTAAGGATGGATGACTCATCTGGGAAATCAATGCTCAACCATTTTGCTGAATTATAAAGACCACATTTTAATCACGAGGTAAATTAACATACTTAAGTTTAAGGAGAGAACAACAGCGATGATGGTGACTACTGGCACTAACATTGAACCACGTTCTGAGCTAAGCCGTTTAACTTTTACTGTGTTATTCAATCATCACTATTTGAGTTAAGCATTATCTGCATTTTTTTAAATAGAGAATCGGAAGTTCTAACAGTCTGTTACTTGCCCAACATCACATATTAGTTAAATACACATACTTCAGGGTCTTAAAGGAAAAATCTAGCCTTTCAGAGAAAAACATTTTTATGTATTCTCTTTATGTTTTATTAAACATGAAATACGTTTTTAGCCCCTGGAGGAGGAGTTACCTTTCATTTCTGGTCATCCATGTGTTGAGTTTCTGGCTTCTGGCTTCCCACTTTCTAACTCTCTGATATCCAGTTGTGCTTAATATTGACTGTACTTTTCTGTACCTTGCCCATTTTGTGGGGTGGGGTGGGGTGGGGGTATGGTAACAACACAGGTTAAGAGTCAGAAAGACTTGGGTTGGTATTCTACTCCTGTCACTAATTAGTTGTGTGATATAGAACAAGTTTTTAAACTAGTTAACGCCTTTGTAAAATGGGCGGAATAAGAATTAAATTACAAAATGAAAGAATACATCTAAAACCTCCAGCATAATACCTGTAAGAGGGTTCAATAAATTTTGCTTTGTCTCATACACCTACAAAGCCATTCCAGAATTCAGACTTTACTGGGATCTCAATTTTTAGTAACCTCAACACATGTTCTGCTTCTTGAAATTACTTGCCGGTCACATCCATTTTATGAATTAATCTCTTCCTGGATTTGTCCAAAGGATGTTACCCTGGCCTTATACTCCGTCTGGTATGAAGATCCTAACCTTCTCAGCCATTTAACCTAGAGTTTGACAGCCTCCCAGTTTTCAGATGGTGAAAACTTGGAGAACACTTAATCTTGAATGAAATCTGGGCCAGTTTCACCAGAACAAAAAGGAGGAGCTGAGTACTGTGCCAACTAATCCAGGACATTCGGTCACTTTATCACTTTAACCCATTAATCTATTTACAAAGTGACTGCCACCAGGTTTGTTTGTTTTTTTTTCCTGGATATTTTAGCTCTACTCCTCTCCAGCTTGAAAGATGTTGGATTATTTGAAGTAGGGAGTAATGACAGATATTAGAGTCCTTTTTTAAATTAAAAAGAAAAGTACAATAAAATGGCACACCTAGAACCAACAGAGGAACTGACTGATTCTGAAAAAGGCAGAAA